AGTAAATAAATAAATAAATAGAAATAAACAAAAGAAACCGTTCTTTAAAAGTGTGCCCTTATTTATTCTGTACTTTTCTGTTTTATTTAGTTACAGTTGTTGATATAGTAGTCTTTAACTGAAATGTATAAAATTCTTTTCTTAATTCATTAAATGGATTTATACGAACATTAATTTTTTTCTATCCTGCAGGAATATAGAAATATCCCCTACTTTTTTTTCCCCTTAAAAAAAAAAAAAAAAAAAAAAAAAAAAAAAAAAAACTGAGGATAACTTTACTTTTCAGAGTACAAGGCGGGCGGCCAAATTAGTTTTCGTCCTTCCGTTAGAGTTATAACGAGAGAGTATTTACGTCGTTATTATTAAGTACTCTTGTGTGAACTCAGTAAAAACTTCCTCATCAGATAAGTGAAGCCGTTACCCGTTTTTAGAGATGTGAATGCATCGGAATTTTAAGCGTCACCTAGTAACGGATGACATAGCAGTTAATGTTATACATTAAAAATATATGAACATTCTACAAAAATTCATCACCTGAAAGTATAGAAGAGTTAATTCTTGCAGTTTCTGTTAAAAAAAAGAAAAAACAAAAGGAAAAGTAAAAAGAAACTAAGTTAAAAAAATTTTTTTTGTTGATTGAAAATGAGATTGAAAGAACTGAGTAATCAACCAATTAATTCGCCGAGAATGCTGTTTATAGAAATGTTTCAAAAGTTTCTTTAATTATATAATCAATATTTTAAATGAAAATAATAATCATGAAATTTTAAATACTCTGGCTTTTTATTTATTAGTCCAAACAAGCTATTAGTCTCGAACCGTGGTTTTCTATTTTTTATTTCAATGTGTTGTTTCACTTTTGAGTCTGCCAAAACGTAAGATATTATTTTTTCATATTAAATCTGTCTGTTATTAATTAACTGCAATAGATGCAGTTCTTAAGAATATTATTTTTTTTTACTTTTTAATCTGATTGATTTAAATAAAAATGCCTTATTTCATGATATATCTAATTAAAAACATTAAATATTTCTAGAGAATTACATTACACATTTTTAAAAAATTTTTTAAATATACAGAAGCTATATTATGATTATGATATAGAAGATATAGTAAGATCTCATGTTACTCCAAATGCCTATACATCCAATGTTCCACAAAATGTCCACTTGGGCCATCTCTTTCGGTAATCTCTGCTGATAAAGCAGACAATTTTTTTTCTATATGTTTTTAGAAAGATTTTTATTGTGAGAAATTGGCAAAACGGAATGAAAAACATTAAAATTCGCCAGGCAGATTTTAATCTTATTTCTGTTTGCGATCAGTAAAACAGCTAAAATTAGCGTTCGTGTTTTTAAATTTAACTGTAGGAAAAAGTTTTATATTAGAATAAGACTTGATTTCATTTCTCTAACATATAAATACGTCAAATGAGCCCTTAAAAAACCAATAAGAATGATAATATATTTGGGAAAATTATAATTTTGTGCGACGATTCTGATATATTCTTCAAATTATTTTCTGCAGATTTTTTTCCAGTGTAATTTAAGCTGGCCTACATTAAATTGCCTTTTCGAAATAAATTTATTTTACAAATCAAGTGAATTTTTCAGTTTAATATTAAATAAAGGAGAACTTTTATATCAATTACTACTTTCCCAGACCTTTAAAATTTAAGACTTGAGGCTCTCTTACTGATTTGTGTTCATTAAAAATTTTGTTAATCTGTTTTTCTCTTTATATAAGCTTGTTTATCATATGATGTCCATTTAAAGGGAAACATTCTTACAAACACACGTCTTCTGAGAGGAAAATTTAACAAGCACTTGCCATTTCATTAAGATAAATCATATTTAGCAACCTGAACCTTAACTTTCCTTATAAAGAATATAAAAAAAGAATTGAATTGAACGAGGAATCAACAAGGAATTTATATACAAAAGAATGGATTACGAAAATTCAGTACATAGTTGGATTTTTGCAATCGATTTCTTTGTAAATAAATGGTGTACTTGCTGAAAATTTAATAGTGAATACGCATCTTTATTCTAAAACAGTATTTTTCATGTGTTGTGAAAATATATAAAATAAAATACTAGCTTTAATTCTTAACTCTTCATTTTAATTTAAATATTTCTTCTTTCAGTTATGAAAACAGCAACTGTTCATAATAAACCACTCTCAACTCCATGATTTCAACACTAACAGCTATCGTAAACTTTTATATAACACTGGTGACCCCGATGGTTTTGCGAATGAAAAGATATCCAAATTGAAACTAAATACCTCTGAACTAAGATTTCATCTCGAACACATCGCATTTGCTTTCTGCTTTTCTTGCTAATTAGACACTGCTCTGCAGCTGCTTCTCTTCGTATTTTAATGACATCAAAAATATAAAAGCTCTGAAATAAATACGCTTTCTTTTTTAAGTTCTTTGTGGTTGCGAACATCAACAGTAAAGAGGAATATTTAATTTGGAAATGACTGCAACTACTTGTTTATACTTCAACATCATGATCTCAATAAATTCCAAATTATATATACAGATAAGAATGATTTACAAATTACTGATAAAAATGTAAAAGCAGGTAGAGGGGACCGAATTAAATAGAATTTGTAATGGTGTATAGATACCGAAATGGTGTTCTGATCTGATGCTGTTTAGCAGCAGTTAAAAGCATTCCCCTGGCCTAAAGTATAATTCCCTGAGCGAATTCGAAGTGGTAAGCGTTATCCACGTATACAAAACTCGACGACATGCATTTTATTTGTTACGCTGCAAACGTAAATGAAGTAGTTGTTCAAAGGAGATACTCAGAAATCGTTAATACCCCCCCCCTTTTTTTTTTAGCTATATTATTGAGCATAATTTCCTTTACATTTACGTGCTATACAATTCAATAGCAAAATTACAAAAAGTTTGAAAGTATCATGGCAGGATATGTTTAGTATTCTCGATGCGATGGAAAGTGTTAGCAAAACATTTTTCTATTTTGTTTTTCAATCTTTTCTCAGTTCATGATATCAGTGTTCAGTTTTCTTAGTAATATAGCATTTTTTTGTCTTTTTCGTTTTGATTGTAAAGTCCGTTAATTAAATAGCATGTTTATCGCTCTTACGCGACACAAAATTCAGTTCAAGACCAAAATTACAAAATATTTAAAAACAGCGTATCTTTAGAATTCGCGATAGACAGACAGCCTCGCGCGTTGGAGATAAAAATGTTTTATTCCCTACAGTGTTACTACTGCTCGCTTTTAGATTGTCCAGTTTGTTGATAAAAAAATTAATTAAAGTTTTACAAAATATTAAATATAAATATGAAATAAAATTAATTAAAGTTTTACAAAATATGAAATATAAAATTAGATTTTCAAAAGTATATCTTCGGACGGAGAACTACGTTATTCAAAATTTGTTGGCCTTAGTAACCTTCGTTTCTTTCACAATGCGAGGAATATACATAAATACATGCAGATTCTTCAATATTTAATTTCTGCGATAATATTTGGTGGCGAACAGTTTGAAAAATGCTATAGCCATTTCAACAATCTGAAAAGTGATACAACTTTTTATGGTGCACAACGCTAACTTCCGTTTCCAGACTAATAGCCCAATCAGGCTAACGCCTTTTTGGGCTTCTAATGGGTTCCAAGAAAAATCAAGTGAAATTTCAACTTCAACAAAAAAGGGCTCAAGCAATCAAACCGTAATTCTCTTTTTACGGTATAAAATACCGTAATTAATATGAGATTTAGCTCAGAGACTAAAGAGCCTTCCGATTATGCTATATTTTATTGAGATTCAATATTTTAATTCCCTATATTAATTTTCAAATCAAAATTTAAAGCTAATTTTTGCCTAAATAATCTTTTTCATAAGAATGATTTTCAATTAAACCACTGTTAAAATAAATTATTAATTTGAAAATATGCCTTTATATTAAATTCTTTAAAAAAATGCCTTTTGACGATTGCTTTGTCAAGTTGGCAGTTAAAAATGTGACCTGGCATCAAGTCACTTTTATGATCTCTCAGGCCCTCTTTACTTCATTTGGTTCCCAAGCTGACAGGTGAAGATAAATGACCAACGTTAAACCGATCCTAGCTGGACCTTTTTATCTTTGTCAGCTAGTTTAAAGACCCATGTATTATCCTCTGAGACACATTTTTATTTTATCTGAGATTCACTTTTAGAAAACAGTTTGTTAAAGCAGACAGCTATGGAACATAAAAAGAGGCAGTGGTAAAGTTCATGTATTTATGTAAGCTGCCTTATCCACTTCAACATTTATAGAATTCCTGGACGTGACTGAATTGCAACACAATTTCTTGCCAGTTTCAGAATGAATTCCAGAAGAGTTCATTGGTGCTGCCATCTATCATAATTTTAATGAAGTATACTAAAGACAGTAAAATTAATTTTACTTTTATGATGGTGTTGCCATCTATTGTTGTGGTCATTAACTATACTACAGTCCAAATTATTATATCAATTAATTTATAGTAAAAATTAGACTGTTTTTAGTTCGCATTAATTTTGCATGCTTTATTCAAATTCATAGCGATTTCATCTTTAATTTGTTAAATACGTTTTGCATAGTACAGCTATAAAAATTTACTTACTAATTTTATTAATTACCAACAATTATTTCCAGTGCAGGATTTACGTATATGTTACACAAGCTAAGTGCCCTCGCTTCCTTGCAGGGCCTCCCGAAAAGCGCTTTAGGTATCCAAAAATTTTATTTTGCACTGACACTTGACTTTATTTTGCATATAATATCTGGACTTATAAAGGGCCGCACATCTCAAATAGCTTAGGGCCTTATCAAGTCTAAATCCGGCTTTATTATTTATTATCAATTATCTGAATGACCTCTTTATTACGTTCTCTTATTTCAGTGCTATAATTATTTAAAATAATTGAGTGCTGTGTTTTTTTAAATATTCTTAATTTTAATGTATAGTCATTAACATCTATCTACTTGCTTTCAGATCCCCGTGCAAAGGACTGGCCACTTACCGGAAGCCCTTTTCCAATGTTAACTATCATAGCTTCTTATTTATACTTTGTGAAAGTATTTGGTCCGGCATACATGAAAGACAGAAAACCTTTCCAGATTAACGGAATCATCGTAGCCTATAATCTTCTTATGGTTATACTAAGTGCCTTTTTCTTTTTCTATGTAAGTATACTTCATTGTTGATAAATTGCTGCTAATGAATGCTTAGAATATCGCCTGAATTTTTTAGCCATCCTTCCTTCAGTCTTTAGTTACATTTTACTAAGCACTGTTTCGCAGAACACTGTAACACTCCTAGAGGTCATAGGACATCCTCTAGAAGAACTCTGTGCAACTCCAGTAGAAGCTCCTCAAATCAAAATTCAAATGAAATTACATGTATCATAAAGGCATATTTAAAAGAATATTAAAAAATGTTGCTTTTTTTGTCCGTACTGCCTTTGTGTCTGTACCCCTTTTCAAATAAAAGCATGTTGCCAACAAATGTTATAGCCATGCAATAATTTGAAAGGTATAAAACATAACGAATAAAAGAAAAAAATGTATAGCAATGTTTAGCATTCTATTTGGAAATCTTAAAGGTATGATGTTTTTAAATATTTTATCATTTTACTGTTGAATTAATTTTGGAGTAAGGGTGAAGAAGGAGGAATAAAATTAACACACAACACTCTATCGAAAATTCTAAAATATTTACTTTTAAAAATTTTGTGATTTTAATGGCGAATGTTTTGTAGCGTGAGGGCAAGCAAACCGATATTTAATATAAAGTTAAAAAGATAAAAAAAAGTTGTGTTAGTAGGAGTAAATCCAATAGCATATTGGTAAACTGCGAGCACAAAATGAGAGCAAAAAATCCTCCAGTGGAAACTTAAAATCCGAAAGAAAATTAATTAAAATTTGAATTCTTTTAATTTGTTTTGGTAACCTAAATATATGGTATGATAATAAACTTCAATGCATAAAAACAATATTTTTAATCTAAATAATGAAGAGTGTTTTATATTCATAGAGGTAAAGTTCGTTGTTTTCAGTAAACTTTTGATAAGAAATCTGCAGTTCCTGAAAACTGCAGGCAAAGATCTCTTTGGGCATCACACGGAAACCCTCGTTCCATAATTTTGAATGTCTGCTATATCCGAAAATCTTTGTCTTTTAGAATAATAATAAAATGAAATGAAGAAAATATAGAGAATAATAATACACGTAATACAAAGACGTCTGTTGGGGCGGGATCACTGAAGTATGGTGGATGATCGAGGGATACGAGTCTTCAGACCTCAAATATTTTCAGGATGAGGACTGGGAGTCATCACTGAGAAGGAGCCAAAAGCTCGCCTTGGCTTATTCTGGACCGGAATGAAGAATCCTTTTTAAGATATTTGTCTGAGCATCCTTTTGTATGATAGTATTAATTTATGATTTTTATGGCTAACATCGTCTTCACTTTTTCAATATTTTCGTCAGTAAGAGATGTCGTGGGTCAATAACTTCAATGCAACGTCTTCAATGGAATCCCGTTCATCCCGATTAACGTATAAAACATTCGTAAACGCATATTAAGGATATGGCTTTATCCCCATAGGCTTGTTTCAGCGTATCATGACATTTCTTCCACAAATTTACCAAGCTTAAAACAGAATTTTAACACCGTTCTCTTCTCCGATTTTAACAGCTTTTGTTGTGCTGTTGGACGCTAAGTTATCAGTAAGCCAGAAGTCCATATACTGCCTATTCCTACGCCGCTTTCAGACGTGCTCACACAATGCTATGGAATATCGTTTCCACGTTTCGTCATTTTCCCATCATTTCGCGTGCGCATCATATGATGTCTTTCAATGGATTGCAGATTAATTTTTGGACTACTACATAATAGTTAATGAAAATAGCAACAGATGGCAGAACCAACGAAATGTTTCAATACAGTTTGGCAAAAAAATGCTATTAAGAGTTTCGATTTTTTGCATTTACTAAAAACTTTTTTTTTTTTTTTTAAATCAAAGCAAATGTAATAGACAAAGAAATTATTTCAAGAGTTACATAAATAAATATTAACCATGTAATGCTAAATTTTCTCTATAAAATTACTCATACCTACAATGAAATGATAGTAGTAATCCATGTGCAGTAAAAAATTACGTTCTTTTCTTAATGCACGTTTTTATTAAACGTAAATGAAACTAATATATTCAAAGCTTTCAGTTTAAAATGCTTAACATATCTTAGATTAGAATTCAAAAAGTTTGAATGAGGAAAAAAAGCATTTAAAACCTTTCTGGTGGTTTTCCTCCGAGATTACAAATGCTATGAAAATCGAAATCCCACGAGGTGTTGTAGATGAAAGGTGTAGTAAGAAACAAAAAAGTTATTTCCATTCTGATATTATTTTTTTTTTTTTTTGTATGTCCCACAGTAAAATCTAGTAAATAAAGGAATGAGAATTGGTCTCAATATTTATTTTCAAGTTTCGTCACTCCTGCGAAATTTTCTTATATTTCTTTTTAGTTTAAAGTGATTTAGCGCTTACTTTAAAATATTACAATTTTCTGAATAAATGTCAGTATGAAAATTTTAATATACAGCCGTCAATTCGTTTTAATTACAGATTATGAGTAACAGAAATTTCTCGCAGATACCCTTTTTTAGATTTGAGGCAGGAACTACGTATTCTTTAATTTGCGTTATTTTTATATTTAACGTTTTGAAAAATATGTAGGAAATAATTTTTAAGTTGTAAAATTTTGTTTTATTGGAGAAAAAATAATTTTTCTTTTTTTTTTCTCTTCCTTTCTTCCTTCCCGTCCCTTATTTGAGACCTATCAACTGCTTTCAGATCGTAGATTTGGCCCGCACGCAATCTGAGTTTGAAACCACATCTTATAAACTTAGTCATTGCTAACTAAGCTATATGAAGTATGGAAAACTATACCATACATGAAAATTTCGCTTGCAGTATTGTCTTTTGATGAAAATTCTTTAGAGTGTTATAGAAGAACACAGTTCTTCTAAAGAATATTTTAATGAGAGGAATTCTTTGCTCTGAAAATTCAAATTGCACTAATATTCTTCTAAAAAAACAATAAAGTTTTATCGTTTCAGAAGAACCTAAGAATTTAAATGCAGCAGGCATTATTTGAAAAGACAAAATATTCATATGGCTAAGGAGAAGTTTGAGAAATATAAATATTTCAGAAACTATAAGCTAAAGTTCTTTGTTTAATAAAAAAAATCTTCAAATCAATTTAATTCTAATGCTGTAAATTTTGTATTAATCATTATATATAAACATTTCTGTTTGAATTTAAATTACTTATTTCTTTATTTTCAGGGTGGTAGTAAGACTTATTTATCAGGGAAATACAATTGGATGTGTGAACCAGTTAATTATTCTACTGACGAAGAAAGTTTACTAGTAAGTCTTTTTGAAATGTAAATTTTTATACAAGCATTTTCAGTCGTTATTTATCAAATTAGTTTTAGTTAGAAATAGAAATATTTTTTATCTTATATTTATGATTTCTTGATAATAATTCTATTTCTTATTAAAATTATTCTTTAAGCAAATTCAAAACGATAAATTGACTGGATATAAAAACATTATTTTAGAGCTATAACAATTTTACGTTGTTACAGCCTCGAAAAGTTAAATAATATCATCATTACAATAGTCAAATTGCATTCAGTTAAAGGAACACATTTGAATGTTGTGGTCTTTGATTTTGTATTACACATTAATAAACGTAAAATAAATATTGATTAAAAACTTGTATTTTCTTATCTAAAATGTAATGCAGTAGACGAAGACTCATGAACTCCCTTATCTGTAAGAAATTCAAAACGTTTCGAAGTTTTATCTGCTAATTTTCAATTATTTCTGAGTTAAGAAACATAAATCCATTAGAAAAAATACTTTTAATTAGGAAGAGAGTTAATCAAATTGAAGAAGAATCTAACAAGAGACCCATTAAAAAGGTAAAGGTAAATGTTATTAATATTTGCGACTTTATTTGTATTCTAGAAAAATATTTGTTTCATGCAAAGATTAATAGTTATTCAGTGTTTTTATTTCAAATATTCTGGATAAATTGACACAGTTACAAAAGGTTTTTATGTCATTATCTCTTCTTCCTTCATTTTTTCTTGTTAAAAAATTTTTTAAAGCTACTTATTTGTAATTTAATATAGGTATTTTTAATATGTTTTTCGGCATTTATACTGATTATAATGTTAAAAATATTTTTTTTTACAGTTAGTGAACATAGGCTGGTGGTATTTAATGCTGAAAATTGCTGAATTTGCTGACACGGTTAGTATTAGTTGTCTTCTTAACTATTACCTTTCGTAAACTTACAAATCAAATTTTCTTCGTGAAAAATACTAAAAGTTATATAATATTTCTTAAAATTATAATCGATACTTTTTTACAACATTAAAAAGTTCTGAAGAAAATGTATCATTAATACTGTAGAATGATAATTCTATGAGAAAGGGAAAAAATCTAAATTAGGTTAAGAGAAATTTTAAATTTCAGTTTAAAATAGATTTTAAAATTACATAGAAATTTTAAATTTATCTTTTTTGTCTTTTACAAATTTAGCAGTGCTTTCGAAATTTTACAGAAAGCACTGTTAATTTATTGTATTTTTTAGCATTTTTAGCGTTTAATGGTAAAAAAGCACTTGAATACAACTTACATATCACTTACAATGTTCTTTTTCTTTTACAGATATTTTTTGTATTAAGGAAAAAGTTTAATCACATTAGCACACTTCACGTTGTTCATCACACATCTGTTGCTTGGGGAGTTTGGATTGGACTCAAATTTGGACCAGGTAATAAAATATTTTATAAAATACGTTATTACAAATCGTAATTACATTACTGATACAGTTCTTAAAAAATGTTATTTAATAAAATGTTTTTTCACTACTACCGCTACTACTTACCACTACCCCAAACTACTGCTACTACTATTACATATAATAACAATAATCATATAATTCTGCAATTCGTCTGTACTCAAAAAAGCAAAAATAGTTTATTTTAAAAGTCCAGTGTCTGGATATTTGTTATAAATTATAATTCAAACATTTGTAGGGAACAGCCAAACTTCTTGGTTATTTGGCTATCTCATCCTCGAGGTCATTACGCAGAGTGCACCATTGGAAGCGACCGATTTTACACTCGTAAGAGTAGAATATAGACAATTGTGTACATCCATGCTTTCTCCGGGATTCAAACCTGAGTCCTACGCTGTGGCAGCTGTCTTTCCTTCCACCGTGACGAAAAGAATGATTTAATTTAGATTTAGGAGAGATTAACGCTGTATTATAAAGACTTTTCTGTAAAAAGAGAGCAGCAGGAAATTAATTCATAAAACTTATCAAAGGATATCATATTTGCATTAGTAAAAGGCTGAAATAATTTTTTTACGTATGCGGACGTAAATTTCAAGTTTTACATTAGGTTATGAAAAATTACAGATTTATTTAGGATTTTTATACCTTGATAGCGTAAGTGTTTAAAATTCTCAACTAGAAGTATGAACAAGTTAAAAAGCTCCTCGGGTAGTCCTTAAGTATAATTACAGTTGTGTAATATAAAACGAAGTGCTGAATTATTTTCTTTAATTATTTTAAATTAGCTAAGCCTTAATTTCGTTTTAACATGAATTTTGTATAGGGATTGAAACGAAGGGGGGGGGGGAAGAATTAAATCAATTTTAATCTTAGTTTTTTTGGTTATTTTATATACATGGGGAGTATGCTAGAAAATAGATGCTTATGTAAAAAGCTTAACAGTAAGAAAACGTATTTTAAAGAAAAAAAATGAAAAATTACTCAACCGTATTTTATTAATAGAAATTCTTAAAAAAACGAGTCACTTAGGCCGCTTAACTTTAGTTTGACATTACTCTTTCTTTTTTGAACTGCAATTATCCAGCCTTGACCCATCCGATATTTCAGTTATTCGAATGGCATGTCTTTTCTAAGAAAACTAATATTAAGATTCTCTTGTGTTTATGTGTCCTTAAATTTTAACATCGTAGAATCCATTTTTTTAGATATTAGGAATCAAATGAGTACAACATATAAATTGGATTACAGTGCCAATTTAGTACAGTGCTACATTGAGTGCATATTTAAGCTAGAGAAAAAAACAACAACTTGGTAATCCAAACTTTAAAAATATCTGTATAAGCTATGGCCTTAGTTAGACTGGGTATTTAGTGTTATTCTTCAGAATCAAATACAATGTTTTCTCAGTCATATAATTTATAACGAGTTTTCACAAATCATAAGTTACACTTTTTTTTAACTGTCAAACAATTTTCATGATTTCCATGTCTTAACGAAAAATAAGAGGAAATCAAGGTCAATAAATACTAATTCTTTCAACAGCAACAAAATAATATGAATTTTAATTATGTTAAGAAATGTTGTGTATTTGTAAGTAAAAATTAATACTTTTGAAATGTATTTCATGTTCCCTGTTTTTAATATTTGAATAGGAGGACACAATGCTTTCTTCCCCTTCATCAACTGCTTTATTCACATGATCATGTACAGTTACTACTGCCTGGCAGCTCTTGGACCTCACATGCAGAAATATCTCTGGTGGAAAAAATACTTGACACAAATGCAAATGGTAAGACAGTTGAAGAAAAGTTGAAGATTACAGACTTTTCGTCTTCTACCCTCAGTCGAGTCCCCATCCTGCTCCTTCTCTTATCGTTTTGATCTGCTATAGCTTTCTAATCTAACGAAAGCGTGACTTGAATTAGTTCTGTTATCTAGTTATAGAATGGTTCACAGTCCCTCGCTGCACCCCTCTGAGGAATGTAGGTCAAAGCGGGAGACTGTGCCCCCATACGTGAGAAGAAATTGCAAAGATATTTTTTATGGTTACGCCCGTTTGTCATCTACTATGATCTTAATTACCTTGCCTTAAATTTCTTCAGCATTTTGGAATTTCTTATACATTTTCACATATTATCATCGAGCAGGAAAATGATACTAAAGAAGTCTTCCGAGTAAATAGCTCAAAGCGATAAATAAGAGCACGCCACACCTAATCTTAATTTACTTCAATTAGTCTTTGCAAGGGAGACATAAATCATAAGTCAAATTAATAAATGGTGAAGCCAGTTTTCACATTTTAAACTGGAACTAAGTTAATGAGGACTTGTTGAAGTTCAGTCAATCTTTGCAGAATGGTTTTTCCAGACTGAAGACCTTCATCAACACCTTTTAGGCTCTTATGCTCCGAGACAGTCTTATAGTTCTGTCTCTATTTTCTAAAGTTAAAATTAAATAGTTTAAGTGCTTAGAAAATATTTTTAGCCACCTAGATTTGAGCTTTCGGAATTTCAAATATCTCAATGACTTCCAGTTCAGATACAGACTTCTGGAGGATGCCTGCTTCGTCGTTTTGGCTTGCGTGATTCTTGTGTAATTTAAGCCGATTTGTTATCTTCGACTCACCAGGGCCTTTCCTGAAAGCAGTTACACTGAGCATTTTGTCGGCATCGGTAGAAATATTTTCCATCAGTTTTTTGTTCTCCAGAGCTAATGTATGGCGTTGAGCTTTTCTCCTTTGAGTTGATCTTCTCTTTGAGTTCTTCAGGAAATAATCTGCTCTTCAAAATTTTTCCTCGAAATAACTTTTGTTTTCTTGGTTGTAATAATCTGTTTTGTTGGTAGATCCGTCAGAAAAGTTTTCCATCCGGTTTCTTGTTTTCTAGAGTTGATGGTATGCAGTTTTTATCCTTTGTATTCGAAAATCGGGTTTCTCTGTGAAATTTTTGAGAAGTAATCTTAAGACTCAATCTTTTATGAATATTATTAACAGTGTATGTATTTTCTCTTCTGGAATTTTAAGCTTTTTACTGCGAATTATTACTTTGAGCTCAGTATTACTATTTATTGTACAACATAAGTAAAGGATCGAAAGCTTCTTTAATATAAATACCCAGACTGCAAGCCAAAGTGTAACAGGTCTTAGTAACAAGGTTTAATAGTTCTTATGGCTTATCGCATTTTATAATTTTTTCTTAGGTTACCACTTAAAAATTATAAAATGCGAGTTTTATTTAAGCAAAATTTTGTAACTTGCGCTAAAACTGCTAAATAATAAACCAATAAATTATCATTAGGGATGAGTTTTAGATTATACTGATTTAAAATGCTAATATATGTTGTACAATAAATAGTACAATAAATAGTACATTATATGTTGTACAATAAATAGTAATACTGAGCTCAAAGTAATAATTCGCAGTAAAAAGCTTAAAATTCCAGAAGAGAAAATACATACAACTGTTAATAATATTCATAAAAGATTGAGTCTTAAGATTACTTCTAAAAAAACTCACATAGAAACCCGATTTTCGAATACAAAGGATAAAATATACTGTCAATTTTTTTTCTTTTGTTAAATTTCTGTTCCTTGGAGCTAATACATAAAAAACTTTTTCTAATAATAAATTATATCTATATCTATATATATTAAAACATAAACAGAAAGAAGGAAAGACTATTAAGAATCCTGCGCTTAGGCTGCAATGGTTTAATTAAACATAATCATAAGAATGAAAGGGGTATACTCCTATTATGATTCCAGTATTTCAATAAAGCCAAAAATAAAGAAAGCCAATAAAGAAAATTAAGAATTAAAATTTGAAGTCTACATAAATTCCAATTTATAAAGTCGTAATACGTAAGGAAAGATAGAAAAATTTAAATCAAAAATAAAATAAAAATTGATATTATTTAAAAGTTTTTGAAATATAGTAAAGGAAACGTGGCAGATGGAAAAAATTGCCCTACAAGCACTGGCTAATAGTAATAGAAATGCATATAAACTGAAGCAAACACTGCAAATAATAATTATAGCCATATACAGAAAATGACCTAAAAATGAACCATTGAAAAGATTGCGAAACAATACTGATTCTTCAGGAAAGTAGCTTATTTCATAGTCTTTCCAATTGTTCAGACATCGTGTTTCGTCCTTGCCATGCATATGTAAATTAGAAATAAAAAATAAAAAAAAATTATATTTATAATATTCAATTCCCTATATTTAGCTAACTCATATGCATTAATTCCCCTATACGATGTAGTAAATCAATTTAAAAATTATTTGGAACATCATATATGATGTGGCTTTCTTATTTTTGATTTATTGAAATATTGGAATTTCAATAGGAGTATTCCCTTTTCATTCTTTTGTATATATATATTCAGGATTTTATAATTAATTTTTACTTAGGCTTCAGTATAATTTTATTAATGAAAAAAAAATTATGAATTTTACGCATTTAACTAATGCAAAGGTATTATCTGATTAATGAAATTATGTTCCTTTTTAATCTGTTAATGCTAAAACTAACGAAAAATAATTGCAGCTTTAATAAGAATTTATTACTTTTGTAATTTTCGTAAGGATGTCCAAATTTCTGCATAAGGTATCCAAATTATGCATTCTGTTAAAAGAAAATCTATTGCTGTAAAGCGTTTTAGCAAATTAAAGATAAAATTTACGAAATCGTATTTTTATGCGCTTTTGTTCGGTTTTATTTCATTGTGTATCCCCATTTCTTTACGTTGTTTTACTATGAAATTTAAATAAATGTATAAAATAAATTTATAACTGATCTGTTTTTTCCCCTTGTTTTTAAATAGATCCAGTTCATCATTGCTACAATTCACGCTGCCATACCTATATTTTATGACTGCGGTTTCCAACCTGTATTCGCTTACATCATCATTTTCCACGCCATTTTGTTCTTCGTCATGTTCTACAACTTCTACAGGAAAACATATAACGAAGAACTCCGAATGAAAAACCAGAGTAAAAAGTTCTTAGAAGAGATGAAAAAAGCCGAAGAATTGAAGAAAAATCAGTCAGCAAAGGAGCTTAAAAATGAACAGAAGAAAGTTAAATAAACAACATTTTTTATGTTAAAAAAAGAGGTTTTTAAAGCACCGGACTAAGGCATATTCAAGGTCTAGTACCGGTAGAAAACGTATTCAGGGTTTATTTTATTTCTTTTGCTAGGAATAATAAAATTTTATGTGTTTGTGGAAAAATGAATGAAATCAAACTAAAAGAATAATGCTGCAAACGTATTTAATACAAAATTACCAAAAGTTTAATCAATATATATGTATATATGTGTGTGTAGAGTTATCGTGAAGCAATAGTTATAAAAATCAAGTAATATTTATTGCGGTGGAAGTAAAGGGAGGTGGGAGGATTCGAGAATTTAAAAGGAGCATTTACAAATATTTTTATAGTGCTGCCACCTAGTGTAAGACATATCAGTCAAAAGCATAAATATGTATAAAAATTCTCCACTAAAATAAATATAACTTGCTTTTTCCTACACCTGAACAAAATAAAAGTATAGTGTAGTACTATTATGTTTTCTCATAACTTTGCATGTATATTTGCCACCCAAATTTCTAAATTTTAATCCATTGCAAAACTTTTCTCATTTTTAAAATATCGAATGTTGTTTTGCTTATTTCCTAATTGAATATTTCTTTAAATTAAAATTTTCCCAAGTGGTAAATTTTTCATTCTATCAAATATTTTATGTACTTAATTGCCTGCTATATTGTTACTTTGTTATGATGTATATAATATCTTCCATGTTATTTCAAATGTGTTAATAATGTTTAATGTATGTTATTGTGTTGCTTGTGAAATTAAAATGCAGAGCATCATTATTAAGTTAAATTATTATTAAAGTTATCATTATTAAAGTTGTTTTTATATTACCATAATTCTCCTCTGAGAATGATAATGATATCAAATAAAAACATTGACATATGTGATAAAAACGGAAATATTAAGCATCTGAAATTTTATTTAATAACTGTTCATTTTTTAATAATTTTTTCAACTAAACATATAGTTTCAAATAATTTCTGAGCAATAATCAGTATTTCAGAAAAAGAAAGAAAACTGCCCTTTGATATTGAAAAACGTGTCTCTTGTAAGGAATACATGTATTTAACCTTTCAGTGGGTGCGGTGTATCTGAAGCTACGTTCTACACTGAAATGAATGGGAGAGGAGCGGAGAGTTGTAGCACAAACTGAAGGGTTAAATACCAAATAATTCTGAAAATTGACAGCAAAAAACGCTGTCCTTGTTTTGATTTCATTTTGTCGTCTTTTTTGTGTTTGAATTTGAACTTGTCATTATGTATCAATTTAAACGGTGTTATGTCTTGTAATATAATGTTTGGAATGGCTCATTAGTTCATACTGTAAATATGTTCATTTATTAAAAATAAAATCATACCGTTCATTCAGACTGGTATTCCAATTATTTAACATGATTATTTTCTATTACATTGTTTATCAATTCTTTGATGCAAATTTTTTTTTGATTGACAAGACGAGCTAATACCTATTATATCTCGCGACGAGTGATCTGGAGTTTTTTAATATAAATACTATATTATCACTCAGCTTGTAATACCTAATTAACTATTCAATTAATCTTCCTGAGGAATTTTCAGCTTTGTACTTAATAGAAATCAAACCTCCAGCTTCAGCTAAGTGTCTCAAATAATGAGAAGAAATATTACCAGCATACTTAAGGATTAATGTCAAAGAAAGAATAAGCATTTTGAAACGAGCAAATTTTCAAATAAACAAGATGAGAAGTCAAAGGGAATTATAAACATTAATAACTAATAATAAAGTTATAATGCAATGCAAAATAAAGGAAGATAATTTTAATAATTAATGTTGTCATATAATAATTAATAAAAAAAATTAAATAGCAGAAATTTAGCTTCGATCTCTAGCACACATTCTGCTTGTTTTGCATCATGAAACACAATGAATGAAAATGTAAAGCATAAGAATGCTTATGTGATAAAATCTCATACCTAAGTAATACATAATGTGATAGCATTTCATACATGAACATATAATAATTGTTCTATGTTCTTTCTCTCTGTGAGAGACACAGAGAGAGCGACCAGAGAGAACAATGATATGTTGCTAGTAAATTTAAAGATAAACATAAAACACAGTGTAAAAAAGAATCTGGAAACTTCAAAATCAGCAAATGTTCATGTAAACAAGATAAAAATACCTAGCTCAAAGAGAAATACGAATCAATAAAATCTAGTAAAAATGAAAATTAACTTATGGGTCAGCAAGGAATGAGTTACACAAGCTACAATTTTTCAATGTAAGTGAACTGCAAATGAAATACAGAAAAACTTGGCAAATATAATAACTACACTTCAGGCTGTAAAGAAATCGGGTAAATAATTTATCTTGAGTTTTATTCTCATTTTTTTATATTTATGTAACAGCCTGTGAAATAAAAACCATATGCTTTAAAAATATAAAATAATAAAGTAAATTAAATATGTATGAATAATGCTGAATATTATGAAAATACTGGAGTATATAACTATTGTTATTATTATGAGCAGATGATAATATCAGCTTGAATAAATAATTATTTGGTAATAAATACTGTTATTATTATGAGCAGATGATAATATCAGCTTGAATAAATAATTATTTGACAATAAATGCTGTTATTTTTATGAGCAGATGATAATATCAGCGTGAATAAGTAATTATTTGGTAACAAATACTGTTATTATTATGAAAATATTATATCAGCTTAAATAAATAAATATTGGTAATAAATACTGCTGAAGAAAGCTACTGCTGATACTATCATCGAATAATATCAGAAGCATTTCAGAAGGACAAAGCAATTCTTTAAAATGAAAAAGTAAAATAATTTATGTTAAGATATGTAACTATATTTTATTTTACATTGTTTTATTAATAAGAATGACAAATTTCATCAGACGATACAGTTGAAGTAGTGTGCTTGCGTCGCGAGAGGGGTTTTATTCTAAGTCGAAACTTCTACCGTATCTAAAATCTGTTTCTATATGAAGACCATCATATCTATGATTGATCGATATTCGACAAGGTTAAGTTAAATGTTTATTTACAATATACGGTATAATATATTACAGTTAATTAGTTAATTAATCAACATACAGAAAATTATACAAATCAAAGAATATGGCTTATTCCCGTCTAGCATCTAACATCTAACTTTTTACTTCAGGTGAGGACGTTGCTATCGCCGTATGAGATCATAGTTCTCTACAGCTTGTATGTGGTAAGGAATAATTTTGCGCAAAATCACAAAAAATAAAGCAGCTTTAATAGAAAATATATCTTAACACGTATAACTTTTGATTCAGAGTTCTAATGTCTTTGACCTTGACTGGGGCTTTGAAATTGTGTTTTAAATCAGAGAATAAGAAAAAGAAAATAAAAAGGACCAATGAACTAGAGTAATAATAATCATAAATTAAATTAACTAAGCATTATTAAACGCATTAAATAAAAATGAAACATCAATCAATCATGTGTATAATATATCTAATTAAGTTTGATCTCGATATATAAATCTTTAGTTTCATGCATTCCATAATATTAAATTATTTACTTTGTCTTTAAATTATTTTATTAGTAAATACACGGATTAAAATTTAATTTTATTTCGATTTCGTACTTACATTTAAAAATCCGAATATTTTGTGCAGGACGGACGGTAACGTTTTTGAAGCCGGTTTAAAAATACAGGTATTTTTATAGTTTTTTGGGTACTATACGTGTTTTTAAGAGCATAGGAATCTAGCAGTAGAGTTATACTTAAAATAGTTGGTGTATTTGATTGTGGTAAGTACGCTAGGACTATCTGCCTGATGGGAGGGATGACTTCGTGGGAGACTTTATACGGAAACCTGAATCGTATCTGCGTTACATTTCGTTACGCACGAAAACGCCTGTACAGCCAGCCCATATTCGCGTGGAATTGAAAATAAGTATTCAGTGCTGGAGACTAGTGGCCCATTTAGTATTTAAAGCAAATCCGTTAATAAATTTATATAAATTTTTTAAATACTTAATTCAGCGCGTATATTATTTTTACTCGTTAATCCGGAGAAATTTAAAAGTCTTTTTCTTTTCAAATCTTATTTTTTTTTACTTATGACATGGCCACAAGCTAAATTTTAGTTATTTGATTTTGAAAGTTACCATCGTGGGGAACACCAGTCCTCCACCAAGACATGCCTTTCTTTCAACGGATAAGCATAGTGAGTTTTATTACAATCTAATCAATTTAAATTTTTTCCAGCTCCAGAATCCATACGATTAACTCCTATAAATATATTTCACATGTAAAATGCCTCCTCCAAAAACTGTGTCTGCCGGGTTGGCCAGTCATTATCTACTCTCCATTTAACACAAAGTTTAAAAATTGTGCTTTCACTTTTAGTCAAATTATTCCCTAAAAACCCATAACTGTTTCGCAAGGTTATCGCCTTACGTTCCTTTTAACATAATTTATATAAACAAAGACATTTAAATAGAATATATTGAGCTAATTCGGTTCTAGATATTGTTGACTACACACGGGCTCGTAATAGCTTGAATGCGCACAGCTCCGGCAATAGGTTGATAAGATTTATTTATCAAAAGAGACACTTTATATTTATAGCACTTTCTATAAAAATACTAGTACAGTTCTACTCAGTATTACAGAGCAAAATCATAATTTCAGTACTCCGAAGTCGACTTTGAACTTATAACTCCCGAGAAATTGATGCTGTCTCTGGTTTTCCACCGGCCGTCGAGAAATCTCTAGTACCTTCTACTCCTCGAAATTGCTGGAAGGCGTATGAGGGCGGCATACGGTTACAGTTGAACACAAGTATTAATTACATTACCCATTACAGTTATACGGGAAACGGACCAAGATATTGCCAAATGGTGGCCAAGTTTAGTGACATTTGGAGATTTCTCTCTAAACTAAGGGACAAAATTCAGTCGCTAAAATATTTCGCCAATTTAGCGAGATATCCATTTACTAAATGTTAAATAGATGTACTTTTTGTAATTTATTTTTCCGGCAGATCATCGCCTCCTTCAAGAAGTTATAAAAAATAGTGCAATTTATACATAACTTTACTAAAATTAGTTACATGTATACAAAATTCGTAACAATATGTAATCTATTAAAAATTAAAAAGCACTTTTAAAGTTTATCTAAGTATGAAATTATATGCATAAAAATAATTTATCACATAAAACTTCACTTAGTGTGTTCAGAAAGGAGTTGCATTTGAAGTTTACAGCTGAAGTTTGTTTAAAAGTGTGATTTTACTCCGAGCAGCTTCACAAGGTTTAAAAGTAGCTGTCAAATGTCAGATAAACCATGATAAGTTTAATCTCTCCGATAAAATTGAGCATGAGTGAGTATCACCGTTAAAAGCATAATTTAATTGACTGAAGTTAAGTCAGAATTTTCCGAATGAATAATTTTATGCAATAAAGTTTTTAAATGTCTTTAAATTTCAGATAATTAATTTGGCTAAAACTTTGAGAAATAAATGACGTGAAACCTGTTAGAATGTTTTCCTTGGATTAAAGGTCAATAAACTTCTTAAATGGAAAGATATATTAAAAACAACGAAGCGAATGAATATTCGGATACAGACTTAAATTAGAGTTTAGCTTTCAAACTGTATAAACCATCGTTTCCGGAAGGAATTTAAAAGGATCAGAGATGATCATAGGGTTGATAGTCAAAAAAGCACGGAAACTTCATCAACGTAATAACGATCTCATTGGTTACAAAAATATTATATTATAAAACTGAAAATTAGTTGCTTATTTATATAAAGCCCTATTATCATGTAATAAAGAAGAAATCTTAAAATACGTATAAGGGGAAAATACGCAAGAATTATTTAATGTATTTTAAAGATCAATAATATTTTTTTAATATATAAACTTTTATGAAAAAAGTGCAATATAAAAAACAAAACGCAAAAACACGAGCAAATACAACAAAAAAGTACGAAGAAAGCAATTTCCTCACACGGTATTTTGTTACGTACAAGCCGCTTTCAAAATTTAAAAGAAGCTTTTAGTGTTCGATTCTAATATACTTAAAATTTGAATGGATTAGCATGGCTCGTGGAACCGCTGAGCTGCGACACGCGTGATGTTGATATTAGGATGCAAGAAGTGTTGATTGCATTGAAGGAAGATGTTCAACCGCAAATCTCATTCGAAACACATTTTTCGAAGTTCTGAAATTTAAAACTTATCCGCGAGAAATATCCCCCCCCCCAAAAAAAAAGTTTTCAAACCATCCTTATTACCTAGTAAACGTAGGCTTTACCTAACTCAATTCATTAAGGAAAATAAGAAAAAAGTTGAAAATTTTGCGATTTACGCGGTGATTTAA